GTTTTAAAAAACATATTTTGCTTGGAAATAATATAATATACTAATATATACTATCGTATTCACATAATATTATTATATATCATTAATTATTATTAAACACTTTTAATATTTTTGGAATAATGAAATCTAACTAATTAGATAATTAAAAACATTTAAATTAACCTATGAAATAAATTCTAAACTAGATTTCCGGATATGGATGATAAATTTACATAGGTAGTTACATGTCGCATTCAACAAAAAAGTCCTATAATAATTAATATTTAATTAAGTGATGGCTATTAAAATAAAAAATAAACCTAGAGTTGTATCACACAAAAAATATTTAAGACTATATTATTTTTAAATATCTATAAAATACCTACCAATACGGCAATACCTAGTAAAAGAATAGATACAATTTTAAAATCAATAAAACCATAGGCTCATTTTTAAATATATATTATATATTATATATATCTAATGTTTTTCTTGCAGAAATGAAACTTGAAGACATTATAAAAACAATCAAGTTATTTTATTGAAATATAATTAACATATTATATACCTAAAATTACGTTTCAATGATAACAATCTAAAGAAAGTATTTAAAGTTAAAGTACAACTAAATAATATTATTAGTCAATTAAGCGTTGCTAGCGTTCAAATCACCAAGGAATAAAATGTATATTATATATTATATATATAATAATATTAGATATAATATAGGTATAGCCGTAGATACCCACACAGCATGAAAATAATTATTTAAAATTTATTAAACATTTGAAAAAAAATTAACTTATTTATTTAATATTTTATTTTGATCAATGGTTAATTGTAAAATGTTTAATAAACTATTATTAATCATGTTTTGAACCCTTTTGCATTTTGAGATAAACATTTAAAAGTCAATATTACATAAATAGTGGTTAATTGCATTTATTCAATATTGGTAAACAAATGTTGCATTTATATGTTTTAACGGTGAATAAATGTTCCATAACGATTAATGTTTATTTACTAAACATGTAATAATTTTTCATAGATTTTTAATAATTATTGAAAATCATGTATTTTTAGGTTTTTTTAAATTTTAAATAAATATATAATATTAATATATTATTATTACTATATAATATACTTAGGTTTAAATATATAAATATACATCGTCTTATATAAAATTTGTGTTTTAATTATTCATTTATGCTTAAATATTCAATTTGATATACATGAATTAAAACTCCCACCGTTATTATATATATATTTATCATCCTGCAACGCACCATTTTCACGATTCAAGAAAAAATTTTGAATACTAAAATAAGTCACAGTTAAAAATGCTTTAGGTGAAATTACATAGTTAACTCTTTTGAGATTTAAAAGTTTTCAAGAGAATTTTATTAGGCTAGTTCAGACACTGTTAATGATTTATATCCAACAAGTGTGGTAAATCGTATTTGTACATAGTTTAACTAAATTTTATGCCAATGATTTATTTATGCTTTAAATTTAAATTTATATTTAATAACACTAATTTGTCTCTATCTAGCTAGGCTTTAAATTATAATAACATATATTATGTATATCTAATTAAATATCTATACTGCAGTCATATTAAATTGATTATCACTTATAATATTACTTATAATAGGTATATCTATATATTTTTATGTTTAGATTTTAAAGTTTAATTTGGCTTACAGTAAATATATTAACAATAATATTCAAGAGTTGAAAAGTTATATTGTTATATTTATTATATAATTATTACAAAATTTAATATTTAACATATTATTAATATTATGCTGTTGATATATTAATACATAGGTACTTAATATAATTCTATTTAAAAAAAAATATCATAGTTATTAAATAAAATAATTATAGTATTGCAATAGTTATAAAAGGGTAGATTATATTTTTTGTGTTTTTCTTTTTATGTTAAAAGGCGCTTGTGCTAGGACATATTTAATCACTTCTTCCATTTCACTTTCAGAAACTTTATTTTTATACTTAGATTGTTGTTTAACAGCATCTGAAACAAAATATTTACTAAATTAGCATACCTATATATATTACAAAATAAAATATTTATTGAAATTACAAATGGATATTATAAATATCTATAATCATTAGATGTAAGGCCATTTTGTAAATTATCTTACCTAAAATTACAGAACAAACAGCTAAATTTGAAAATTTTAACTTCTTGCCAGATTTTCCTGAATATGAAAAATGTTGTAATAACTCATCTGAAAATAGCTTGTTCATAATTCTTTTGATCATCGATTTGTAATGTTTTCCACCAATATAACTTAGTTGGTTAGTCTTACATGAAACAAAAAATAACAGTATCTACTTTTTATTCAACTATCCAAGTATATAGGTTTATCTATATATAAGCAAATCAACAATTAATAATTTAAAATATGGCGTAAGTATTGTTTTCTTACCAAATTAATTTGAAAGGCTCTATCTCCAGATATTTTGTCATTAAATGTATCAAGGTCTGTTGTATTATCCAATGGTAAAATGCAATCACTTATATCATTTAATGTTGATGTATTATTATAACAGTTGCTACTTGTATTTGAAATGTTATTACCATCAAGCCGTGTTTCTATTGATTCAATTCTTTGGGCAATGTCCATTTGATAATTGACAAGTCTTTTAAGTTCGTGTTTTACAAAAGCCAATCTATATAGCACCTCTTTTTGAAAATCACGATCTGTACCTATATAGTAAGGAATTAGATTTTATTATAAATAGATATTTGAAATATGTTCATGAAACAATATTTATTAGCACTGACTGCAGTTAATAAATATAGTTCTGTAGTTTTTTTTTGTAAATCATAATATGATAAGAATATTTTAACCAAAAAGTTATCTAAACACGACATAAACCAATGATATAATTACATTTATATTTTATAGACACACTAAAATACAACAAAAATGCTAAGAAATTAGCAAATATGCTATTTTTTTAAAACATATACTTAATTTCGAAAAGTCACTTAGTATATTATTGATTATTTCCATCTCAGAAAATAAAATTATAAAATCTTTCTCAGAATATAATTTAAAACCACCATAAATAAACACATGCATTTAAGAATCTCCGGAACCCATCGATGATATTAAAGAAGTAAATATAGGGACTTTATACATAATAAGACTATTTGATCGAACAACACCAATAAATAAAAATGTATAGCCATTAGAACTAATTTTAGTTATTTATCCCAAAGTTATTCTTATTTTAGTTTATAATTTAAATATTAATAGTATAATATTTAATATAATTTAGTATTATATTTAGATAGTTTTCTTAACCTGAAGTAGTTGATGTGGTTGGTGTGTTAATCACAATATGTGATGCTGGCGGCAGTTTTTGTTTTTCTATTGATGATATTATATTCAACTTGTTAGTTACATTTTTCTGTGCTTCTTCTTGTAGGTATATAAAAAAAAAATTAATTTAATTTATTTGGACAATATAAGTAATGATCATAGAAAAACAAATTTAGTAGATTCACCTGTCTGTGATTCAGATGGTGGCGCTGTTACTGTATCACTTTCAAATGATGTATTATCATCAATATCTGTTTCATCATTTGTTAAAGGTTTTGACATAATTTCTTAAGTATAAAATAATATAATATACATTTTGAATTAACCAACTATTTACAATAATAATAGTAATACAAACTTTTTTTCTCGCCAGTGCTATCATATGAAAGTTGTCTGGAAACTGAGGGTTTTGAACATACATATTTATTTTTACTAAACTGAATTGGATTATTGTTTACAATTTGAGAACCTGAAAAATGTTTGTTATTGTAAAAATTAATATATCATATTTAATTTAATTAGTACATTAAATTTAATTATTTTAAACATTTACTTTTTAATTTTTTTGGAGAAGGTGACCAACCATTTACCCGTGTCTCGGAGACTGCAGCAAATGTAGATACAATATCATCATTACAATTGTTATTGGATTCATCTTCAGATGCTAAGCATTACAGATCATATAAAACATTATAAAAGTTATACTTATATATCAATATATATATTTACTATTCACATATGCAATACCTGAATAAGAAGGACATAATAATGATTCCGTAGTGACTGATGTCTTCTTTTTGCATTTACGTTTATGTTTTATATCATAGTCTTCAGCAGATGATATATCGGTTTTTGTAAGTCCTTCTTTAGTCATTTCTCGTGCTTTTATTAATGAATCTATTCATATTAAAAAACATCAGTTAATTTTTCTTATTATTAGTTCCAATAAGGGTTTAAACAAATACACATGGTTAATTTAGAAAAACTGAATTATTTTATGGACATTTTTCAGATAAGAATATTTATTGGTACTAAAAAACCTAAAAACCTATAAGTGCGTGTGATTATATTATATTATAGGTATGTTGAGACATTGAGTAACAAATGAATTTAATGTAAAAAGTCAAATATTAACCTTATTTTAAATGAATAAATTTAGAAATACCACTTTTACCACTTTAACTTACCCGTTGTTTTTAATACTTTAATTTTGTATTGATTAAACTCCACGTCATTTGGAAGACTTTTTCTTTCTATCAGCTTTCTAAGAAGTGAATGTTTTTTTGTAATGGGCCAAGAACACATACCATTTTTTACCCAGCTTGTTGGTACAGCCTCAATAGTATTGTCATCAATAAATACCACAACTGAATACGTATTCATAATGATTTTTATATTTTTCAATCAAAATACCTATATGAAACTATTTTAAGTAAATAATATGATATTTATTATTAATTAAGACATTTCATCAAGCAATGAATTATACATATTATACAGTACAACAATTATTATTACAAACCAAACAATAAAATGTTACCTATTTAATATAAAAGAAATATTTACAGTATTATTGAAAACCTTATATTTAATACCTATTATAATGTGATATAAACAAAGTAAACTTTTAAAATTTGAAGAATTAGATTTGTTCATCTAATTCTAAAATTCATATGAATGAATAATTGGATATGCAATGCTGTTATTAAGATTATCAAATATTATCATATATTTACAAAAGTTTGTATGTTCAATATCTATAGCAGTAAAATTTGTTGATAAATCATCAACTATAGCAATACCTAATTTTATGCTATCGATAGGTTTACAAAAAAATGATCTAACATGATTAAACACTTTACATAAAAACACTGTGTTATTTGTGCTGGGATCAAAACAAATGTTAAATACTTTAAAAATACAAAGTTTATTTTGTTTTTTAAAACCTATATAAATGTCCGAAAGAGATTTAATATTAATTTTAATGTTGTTTTTAAAAATTATTTGGTATTGAGGACTAGTATAACATTCAACTAAAGGACCTTTACAGTGTTCTTTTTTATAAATAATTTTACTTTGATTTGTGTCAACCGTTGGCACATTGAATGTTAAAAACTCCCTGTAACGATTAATGACCTGCTCCAAAGGCTTCTCATGTTTCCTGACCATTACCTTTAAAAATTTCATGAAGTTTTCGAACGGAAAACATGAGCAATTATCAAGGGAACCGTAATTTCTATAATCATCAGGTAAATGTATTAAGCTATGAATATTATGAGATGAAAACTGGGCTCCATATATTTCTTCAAATGTTTCAACAAAATAAACTAAAAGTTTTTCAGCAAAATCAACAAGTTTTTTATTACTATTAAGTGATAATAGAATTCTAAATGAGACATGTAAACTTATAAAATGATTGTAACATTCTTCAGTTATAGCCCCTTTTAAAATAATTGCTCCTACATACACTAAAATAAATTTAAACTCTGTAGCCTTATATCTAGCCACTTCATTTAATCCCCGGAGTTTTCTAGGAAAATCATTTGTCACAAATGGTTTAATAGATAATATATGTTTAGAAATATTTGATACATCCCGACTTTGTATACGAACAGATAATGGAGCATTTTTAATCATACCTAACCATAGTAAAATTAGTTTTTTCATAACACCTAAGCACCCCATATGCATATAGTCCAAACTGAAACTATTTACCATATTAATATGCGGTATTTCTGTTAGTATAGAAATGTCGTTAGTGACATGATGCTCATCATCAATACGATTTAAAAAATCAGTATGTGTTCTTTTAGAATAATTAGTTCCCAAAAAACATGTAGTATTGTTAACACGATCACCTTCAATAACACATCTTGAACATGAATAATAACCATTGAAATTTTTAGTGCGTGTTATAAAACTACGAGCAGGAAGATCACAACAAATTGTATCTAATACAACAATTTTTATTCCATATTCCGTTTTAAAACCATTTAGGGATAAACTTTTTAATTCATCAACCATACTTCTCAAGTATAAATTGCTGCATTGAGGTTTCTCTTTCCCCCAATAAAGACCAATAATAAATACATTAGGTTTATTTGGAGGATAACGAGCATAGGCCAAAACTGGCCAGAAAGTACTAGAAGAGCTCTTTGTAAGTGGTAAGCCGTCAATCCCCACAACTAATTTAATAACTTCCTCAAAAACGCTTAGATCATAGACTGACATCAAACCATTTGATATTCCAAAATGATAATATAAGCCAGAGTTAACAGTTTGAATTTGATGAGTCATATCATATTTATTAGTTTTCATAATTGTTCTAGAATCAACTGGAAAATTATTAAAACAATTATGCTCTTTAAGAATTTTTAATAAACTAGAAAAAGCTACAGATGTTATAGAGTAATTAACTTTCCATTTGGCTAATGAATTCAATATTAGTTGTTCATCATTAAATATACCAATTTCATTACTATCGGACTCATCAGTATCAGAATAAGAATTATATGAAAAATCATTTTGATCAAAAACACTATTATCTGAAATATAATTAATGGGGGTTTCAACTGAAAACAAATTGTTTGATGTACAATCGACAGAATCAGTTAAATTAGAACTTTCTAAAGGCAGTGAACTTAAACTGCCATGAGATGTACTTGGTTGAGGATTTAACTCGAGTTGATCGCGATTATCTATCAGAAAATCTACAGTCTCTATTTCTTCTAAAAATCGTCTGCGCTTAGTAGATTTACTGAGAGTATGGAATGACATAATTAAATACAAATGTCAAATACCTACTTAAACTTAAATTATTATAATTTACCTACTTACCAAAACAACTAATATATAGGTTTAATATGGTTAGCTGTTTACTGTTCACTGTATAATATGTATATATAGGTAAGTATACTTAATAATCATTCTTTTATATACAATAGTTAGCTTAAAACAAGCCTGAAATAAAAAAAATTGTTTAATGAATTTTTTGAAATTAAAATATTTTTACTTACTTACCAAAATAGGTACGATGAGAAATTTATATAGTACCTAAATCAGTAAAGCACAGCTGTTGTAACTTTAAAGGTAGCTACTCTCAACGGAAACCTGCAGGAACGACAGAACCTATTGACTATTTCTTCTATACAATAGTTAGCTTAAAACTAGCCTGAAAAAAAAATTGTTTTATGAATTTTTTCAAATTAAAATATTTTAAATTTAAATAATTACTTAGGTACTTACCAAAATAAGTATGATGAGAAATTTATAGTACCTAAATCAGTAAAGCACAGCTGTTGTAACTTTAAAGGTAGCTACTCTCAACGGAAACCTGCAGGAACGACAGAACCTATTGACTATTTCTTCTATACAATAGTTAGCTTAAAACTAGCCTGAAAAAAAAAATTGTTTTATGAATTTTTTCAAATTAAAATATTTCAAATTTAAATAATTACTTAGGTACTTACCAAAATAAGTATGATGAGAAATGTATAGTACCTAAATCAGTAAAGCACAGCGGATGTAACTTTATAGGTAGGTACTCTCAACGGAAACCAGGAACAACAGAACCTATTGACTATGCGAGTCGTAACTATCGGCAGTCAATCGAGTAGATATACGACACTAATAATATTATACAACTTACAGGAAAATAACGAGAGAATATTATAGAATTTTAGAATAAGTATAATATTATTTTTTATTATTAATCACTCAAATATAATACATATAACACACAAAAACCCTGTTGGCGTAATGACTAATGGCATCTGAAACTGGCGATTATAACGGACTACAGTACGACACGAAGGTTAACGAATAGTTCAACAGTATAGACTATAGAGTAAAAGCCGAAATTCCGAATTCTGTTGAATACTGTTATGTAATTTTACGAAAAACCAGTTTAATTCTATTTTGGTCTACCTATAACAATTTTCTGATTGGATAATGCTGCGGCCCCACTGGGAGCGATTCTGCGATTCTGCGTTTCGAGCGTTTCTGTGATTTTACACGCGCGATGTCCATTAGTGATTTTGATGGGGCCACTTTAGCGATTTTACATGCGTTTCTAAATTTTTTCCATGGCGCGTGTTCGTTGTAGTTTTTAGTTATCATTTGCTTATTCGGTCGTCAACCAAGATGACGTCCCGAAAAATGTTACTGGCTGAAAGTGCTTCTTTAATTGATATTAAAGTAAATTTGGCTAAGAACCGTTTATGGGTTCACGAAATAAATAAGCATAGACTATCTGAAGGGGAATTTCATACACTATTCAGTAAATTAAAAAATCATCCTGTCAAGTTTTTTGAGTACTGTCGCATGAGTGAACCTACTTTTTATATAATTTTGGAAGCTATAAGAAGCGAAATCGAAAAAGAAGACACCAACTTCCGAAAAGCAATACCTGTAGAAGAAAGGCTATTTCTTACATTGAGGTAAGTTATTTAAATAAATATAATTAAGTGAATAATATATCGAGTGTCTTAAATCTATTAAATAACTTTTGTTCAACTCATTATTTTTCACTTAAACAAAACGAATAAATACCACAACACTGAAACTACAACAATAATATATGTTTCTAAAATTCTAAATACTATAACTATAAAAATAATTGTTCTATAACTTCTATAAATTCTAAATAATTTGTTTTTGGGCCTCAAACTTTAATTGTTATTAAAAATATTTATTGTTGAAGCTTGGTATTAAATTATTAAATTATTTAAAAATAAAATAATTACGAGTTAATAACAGGTTTATTTTAACAGGTATATTTTAAAAACCGATTAACCCGTGGTGTACCTAGAATATATAAGTACCAACATTTCACCCATAAGTTGTATTCATACTAACTTACAACATACTTATTTAATTCATATTAGGTACGTAATAGTCATTATAATAAAACATCGTAATTTTTCACTAAAATAAAATGATCAAGATAAGCACTCAACAAACATATTTAATGACATAATATAATTTAAAAAAAACTTAAAAATGGTTTCCTTACCATAACAATATAACTAAAATTAAATTAATTTTATTAGGTTAAACTTTAACTCTAATAAACTTTAATTAATATCTACATAAATTGTACCCTGCTCTTTGAGTGGTTCTGTCTGGCAATTTAGAAACTGGTTGTTTGCGTCAAAATTGATTTCTTGCCATGGTTGCCAATGGGAATCGTCATTTGAAACTGACGACTGCGTGGAAACTGATGCTGGTGTACTTGAATACAGTGTGGAAGTAGAAGTTGCAGGTTTAATATTCATAACTTCGTTGTATAAAATTTCTTGAAATTTAATCTTTGTCCTAATTTTTTGTGGTCTGGATAGGGATTTCAAATCAGGTAATAGACTTTTTAAAAACATCAAGTCTTCATCGTCTTTTTCTTCATTTTGTAACAATTTTATTTTTTTTGCCTCAAGATTTAATAACTCTTGTCTGAAGTTGGTCATTGATGTTTTACTTTTTTTTGATATTTTGCTTGTATACATGGGTTTTTCTCTTACAATGCTTCCCGTCGATTGAATAATGTCGTTGTCATCTTCACATATTTCTTCTTCGCTATTTTCGTCGACATTTAAATGAGAAAAATCGCCAGAAGTATCTTGTGGAGCATTTTCAACGGAGTTACTAGCGCTCTTCAAGTTTGTCAAGTTTGTAGTACGAGGGCGCGTTTCCATCGTGTCCTTTAAATAATTTAAACACGGGAATAATGGCCAGGTGGAAGAGGTTACTTCGTCTGCACCAGCCCCTGAACGTCCTGATGATACTTTTTTCAATTCAGCTCTATAATAATCTCTAATGTTTTTCCATTTGCTTTTTAACGTAAGAACTGAAATTTAACGATTGGTATACTTTAATTTAATTGGTTAACTAATTTTGTTAAATGTTATATTAAATTATTAAATTAGAATTAGGTATCAAAACATATATTTTTTAAACATATTTTTGTTGTTATTATTATTATTTTAGGTATTTATCATCTGGATGCAGTTTCAGAAGTTTAGCGTTCACTTTTCGTATGGGTAAAACAAGTGTTGCGAGAATTGTAGTGGAGACATGTGAAGCTATTTGGAACAAATTGTCTACAGATTATATACCGGAACCAACGAGTGATGACTGGAAAGCAAATGCAAATGATTTTTGTACTAAATGGAACTTTCCTAATTGCCTCGGAAGTATAGATGGCAAACATATACGAATCGACCAACCTCAACATTCTGGGTCGATGTATTACAATTATAAACATTTTTTTTCAATAAATTTATTTGCGATTTCCGACGCTAATTATAAGTTTATAGCAGTGGACATTGGTGCATATGGTAGAGAAAGTGATGGTGGAGTTTTAAGAAATTCAGTATTTTTCAAAAAACTCCAACAAAATCAACTAAATATTCCAGAAGATGTGGAACTACCCAATACCAACATTAAAGCACCATATACATTTATAGGTGATGAAGCGTTCCCCCTTTTAACAAATTTATTACGACCTTATCCTGGAAAGCAACTGTTGAATGACCAAAAAAAGAAAATATTTAACTACAGACTATCAAGAGCTAGACGTACGGTTGAAAATGCATTTGGAATTTTATCCTCAAAGTGGAGGATATTAAACAAGGCAATTGAAACAAACGTTGAGCACGCCATCACAATTACAAAAGCAGTATGTGTTTTGCACAACTTAATATTGAAACACGATCAACTAAGCAATCCAATTGATAATTTGGAAGAACAGAGGACTATATTCAAGAACACTGTAGGAAGACAAAATAATAGATTTGGAAGATTAGCAAAAGATTCAAGGGAACTATTCACTGAATATTTTAGTAGTGAGGCTGGGTCTGTTCCTTGGCAATTGGACTATATATAAATGTTTCATTTTAAATATTTTACTACCTACATATTCTACTATAATTATTTATTTTGTAATTTTAAAATGTATACTTTGTATTAGTACCTATTGAAATAAATATGCTTCTTCGTCAACAAAAAAATAATTATAAGAACAAATATTTACGGGTTAATTTTTTTTTAGGTATATTTGTATTCTAAATTTAAATTTGTATCCTAGTATAATTATATGAATCACTAGTTTCTAATAATATTTAGATTCATATAAAATAATATTGCTGTATAAAAAACCCGTTACCCGATAATACGTAAGCAAATACGAAAAGATAACAATTAAAAATAACTTTATCAATAATTTATTTTTACGTTGTGGCTGTATAACATAATCATGACCACATTTTAAGTTATGATAAATTTGTGTCTAATAGTTCGTATAGTTATTTTTATTTATTTTTTACTGCAATACTGCATGTAGGGACGTGTACATCCGTGTCGTGTACTCGTGTGGTAGGTACTGTAAAATGTTATATTTTCTAAAATAATTTCTATGTTACTACAGTACAAATTATATCAAAAATATAAATATAAGATATTATAGATTTATAAAATAAACATAAATATATAACATTAATTAATTAAAATACCATTCATGTTGAGATCCTTTTCAACGTTGGACCAACATTTTTGGATCTTGGTCCTATTTTTGTGATCGGGGTGTCTAGGATTCCAAATAGCTTCCTGAACGAAAACAGCGGCAGCTATTTGTTCGGACACAACCAACGTTGAAGACATTTTGATAACGAATGTCAAGTTTCAACGATTAATCGCCGAATATCAAACTATTTTGTTCTCTCAGCGATTGCCGCGCGTGTAACGCTACACGCGACACACGACACGCGCTCTATGGGGCCATTACATATGAATTACATACTTTTGTTAAAATCGCTAAAACGCAAAATCGCTACACGCCATCGCAAAATCGCAAATCGCTTCCAGTGGGGCCGCAGCTTAAGATAAGCCATAGACCCGTACCGGCAGCCGCCGCACCGACAACCAGAGATTTGTTTATGTATAATATGGTTTTCGGCTCTGTCCACTTACCACGGTTATCTGTTTCTGATACCAATAATACCTATAGGCTATAGTATTATTGAAACTATAAACTCGTCTTCACGATGCGTATACGGTTTGTGTCTTATCACAGACAGTACTATACTAATTACTAATTAGTTATTACTTATTCTTGAACACCAGCTCTCGCTAATTAAATAATTATTTATTGTAGTACTGTTCTTGAAGTTTTCAGCGGTACCGGTGGTTTTATTTGGCTACACAATATTTGTATCTTAGTCCGTGTTAAATACCGAGGGCGCTGTGAACTCCAAGAACACATAGCGACCCCCCGCACTTTGCTTCTTGTACATACATTCGTGGCCGTGATAATAATAATTTATAGAATATATAATATAATATATATATTATATAATATATAATATATAGAAGTCTGTGTTTCCAGTCCATTATATCTTACGGTCCATATTATAGTCCGCGTGTTATCATAATATATTAAATATACTAGTATATTTAATCTATGGTGTTATAATAATACGAGTGGACAGTGATATTGTGATAAAATTATTAAGTATATCATCATGATTCATGAACTAATTAAAAAGAATGTTGGTACTTGGTATATTATTATTATCATAAGCAGCAATAATGTACCTAGCTACCATTATAATATGCTACTTATAAATTATAATACGAATTTCTAGTCGTAATAGATATTTTACCTAATACATTATTAATTATTATATTAACTATAATAATATGTAGGTAGGTCGTAGGCATACATGACAAAATAAATTTGTCATGTAGGTCGTAGGCATACATGACAAAATAAATTTGTCATGGTCGTAGCACTCGTAGGTATATCTAATCTAAATACCTTGCCTTTGTTGTTGCGTCTAAATCAGAAGATCTTTTTTTCATCTATATATAAGGACATAATAAAATTGTGCATCAAAAATGAATTTTTTTTTAACCCTATGGCCCACTTGGGGAGGTGTTGCATATCAAATCGAGGGATATTTTCGTTTTTAATTGTTCGAGCGAGCGCAGCGATCGAGTGACAACGCTCGGTGACTCGGTGCAACAAAAATGGTCCTCCGCGCGGTATTATAGACTATATAGTAGTGTTTCGGAATGCGGGCATGCGTATAAACGTAAAATCGAAAACTTTGGAAGGCCATAACTTCAAAACCAAGTGTGAGCGACGAATTCTGATTGCACCATCGTTTTTAACTCGATGAGTTACATGAGTTTCGATAAAAAAAAATTCAAAATGGCGAGAGGGAACTAAACTGCACTTGTTCCAATAATAAAAATCTTTCGAAAATTCCTTGATGTTGTATACGACTATATATTATTAGATCGCGCCGTTCGAACTTCGAAGATAGTGTAAGCAGGTCTTTCCAGTTCCAACGATGTCGATTGTCGATAACGACGATTAACACAGTTATATATATTATTTAGACGTAGGTATGTGCATTGTGCATGCCACATTATCATTGAAATTAGTAATACAATAATATAATATATTATATAATATTATTATCAAGTAATAAAAATTATAAGACGCGTACGCCAAATACGACAAACGCGTTTATATACATGAAAATATATGAAAATAAATATTTTTTAATTTTATTTCAATTATATTTAATGCTATAACTACCTATACTTTAATTATAAATATATGATAAATATATATATATTATATTATCTTATACGCGGGATAGCCGTTTACTAAACGGCATACTTTTTTGCAACGGATTAACCGATCTGAACCAAACTATTGGCACGGTGATAGTGTGGACATCGCTGAATTATGCCAACAAGTGGTTTTGATCGATGTCCGACCTACCATCGAGGAATAATCACCGAAAAACTAAATTGAAACTAATTTTGATACAATGTAATTTTGTTTCCATATAGAAACATAGATCCGGAATAAATCAACAATTTCACAACAAATATACTTGAAACATGCCTCATCGATTAAGAAAACAAGCAAATATATATCAGAATCTATCAAATCCATGTCATTGAAAAAACAAGTTCAATTAGCTTCGGTGTTTAACTCGCTCAGCTCAATTTCTTGCAATCAGCGAACCGCATTGCAGTCCTAGCTAGTATTATATACCTATATATATAATATATATAAATATAATTATATTATAATTTTACGCATTGATATAGAAATTAAAATGAATAATATTATATAATTTATTATCAAAGTAGAATAAATAATGAGTTTCCAAAATGGCAAAATTTAATAAACTATAATCTAATAGATTAATTAATGGTTAGCTAATGAAACATTTTAATTTTAATTTTATCTCAATAGTTATCGTTGAAAATTATTATTTTTTTTTTTATAAATTAACAGAACACGAAAATTAAATATTGAATAAAATTATTGAATAAACTATGAGAAATAAATATTTATTAAATTATTATCTTCATTTATTGAATAATTGTTGCAATTTAAAGTACATGTTATCACAAATTTTGATTGGAAAATGAATATTGAACTTTTAATCATTATTAACCATTATCAAATAAATTGAGTACAATATAAAGAATTAAAATTAACATACAATTTTGTATAAATATTTTATTACAAAAATTTGAAATCCAATGAATTTCAAATATTTATACAATTGTATAGATTGACAATTGCTGTGTGGGTACCTTTATGTAACATAAATATTAATGTGACTTTTTTTTAAATGGGTGAATTCCCTCTCCCATTCATAAACTTTCATCAAATTTAAACATTGTATAACTTATAAATACAGATTGTAAATATACTACATTTTGTTCAATAATAAAAAAAACCATTTTTTTTGGGGATTTTCTTACTTAAAATAATAGTTGTGAATTGTGATATAATAATTAACAACTATGCATTAAAAGTAGACTTAATAAATTATACACATTTGTAATTTTGTGAAGAACTATATAGATATTGATACATAATAAGGATAATGAAATAAAAAAAAGTTTATCTATTATAATTTCTATTAATCTATTTACCATAATTTCCAACGCCCATAACGTCTGTACGTGTCGAATACTGTTGATTGTAGATTGATTTAAACAAAATGTATAATATTATTATTTAGTATAGTAGGTACCTATATTATAGTTTTGTTATATAGTTTTAAAATAATAAAATAAAAATAACTGCATAGGGTAATAATTGTATAGATTAAAAAACAGCACAAATAATTACATTATGTATCTTAAACATAATTTATTACCTATTGACATTATGGATTCCAAAAAGTATAAAGTAATAAAAACCTAAACCCCGAACTTATTAACCGTGTTATACAGTGATAAATCTATTATAATTCGTATAACGGAATTCGTAGTAAAATTAAACAGAATAAAAACGTAAAATTATAAGTACCTACCTAAATTAAAACGCACACAAACAACATATTAATACAAAATACAAATTGCATTGATAGCTGATACAGCGTATAAGTGTATTTTAAATTTTAATAAGAAATGAGTTTTTTTTTATATATATTTTTTAAATAGAATAATAGAACGTACGAAATTAAAAATAGGCACGCATCTTATACTGTAGTATCTATACACAATCCGTATATATACGTATAATAGATGTATATAATATTATGTTATAAACCGTGTCCGTATACCTACATTGTGTGCAAGAACATCGCTCAATAAAATCAATCTATACAGAGACAATACGGTATTTCAAAGCATATAATAATTAATACTAATGAAAAGAAAGATGTATTAATTCAAGTTTTAATTAAAACTCGACTAGTTTGGCCAATGTACCTATTTGTTAATCGTACGAAAATCATAAGACAATAATTCTATAACGGTCACCAAGTATTTATATTTTATTTTGATGATGAGGTCATCGTAAAATTCGTTTTTCTTGTGTAGTGATGTACGGGAAACACAGTTCTAGAGTTTGTTAGTTGAATCAGACATTTTTTCAGTATTCGAAAGTGTTTCGCGAGAACTCAACTCATTCGTACACAAAATGCAAGCAGGTTGCACTGCTGCAGGCATATTTTAATATGTGTTATAGCCAATAGGTTTAAATCGTACGCATGCGCGATATATGTGCCCCGAACGTCAGCTCTTCCGGTTACTCTATATTAAAAGAATACTTAAACGATATTTATGATATCGAGGATCGTCGTTAGTGCTTAGTATGGTCATGGCGCTTTCATGCACATGCCTACATATTATTATAACCTGCGCATGGATATTATCGAGAAAAAATTTATACAGAATCTGGGCGATCGAAAGTCGTCAGACCGTCATTATACTATTATACTCTACTTGCGTAATACAAAACGTGCCATTATATATACTGGAAACGTGTATAATATAGGTACACTTAAATACAAAATAATGATAACGATAATATACGCAAATACAACTCGTCGAACTCGGTCAAACCGATCGCGTCCCACGCGAGCCTTCGAGAATAAATGTCTTCACAGGCTTCTATTATTATTATTATTATTATCGTTGCCTCTTTTTTTTCTGCTCGTTTGATCGCGCACGGATGCACCTCGATTGTAGTCTTCTCTCGTCGTCTTGTGTACGCGAAAACCGACTGACCGTGTGTGCGTATATAAATGAATAATACGTAGGCTATACGCAGTATATATGTGTGTGTGTATGTTTACGACAATAATAATAACCCACTATGGAGGTCACCCTTTCGG